AGTTTCATTAAGAATTAAAAGGGGGAAAATGGGAGATGGAGAGATGCTTCTTCTGTAAGGCTGGAATATCACTGGACCATTTGTCATGCTTTTCATTTCATTGCAGCTTATGGTGTAACCCAACACAAGTCAGTATCCACTGTGACAGGTCAGGACCGCCCTCGGCCCCGTTTCCCTGCTGCATCAATGAGAAGAAACATAAAATTAGCACAAGAACCCCACGTTGCCCACGTTCCCCAGCCACCAAGTATATCAAGAGATTAATGAAATTTCAACATGCAAACTGAGGCTGGGGCTTTGCCATATAAGTGGGACTCAGTTAACCTCCTTAAAACATAGTATGCTGTGAATGACCTTTGTTCTCTGACTGGCTGTTCTGAAAGATAAAACTTGTCAGGTATTAGGCCAATCAATACATGTTTAAGGTCATCCTTAACTGTGTCTCCAATAACAGCTGTTTTCATTTTCTAATGTATGGCAGTCCTCCCAGCATTGCTTTAATAAGTGACCCACTGATAGCAAATATGCCGACATCAAAACCGAGCTCAGTACTTCTTTTTCCTATGATATTCAGGATTACTAAAAAGACATGACTCAAAAACATTTTTAATAACCAAAACTCGGCCATGTTCCAAGTTCTTTTTTTTTTCCACTAATCAACAGCAGTTGTCTCCACAGCAAAGTCAAGCACCATCAGTCCCCTTTGTGATCAATTTGGTTTTACCCACTTTGAAACCTACAATAGCGTAATGAAAATCTCATCTACCTCTGCTTGTTCCAGGGACTCCTCGCTGGGAGAAGCCCAGCCGGCCCCTCGGTGTGACAGCACCACGGCCCCTGGTCTGACTGGCACCGCCGCGGACCACTCCCCTCACCCCTCGTCCTCTCCCAGACCCCTGGAAGTCCTCGTAGCCGTAGTACGGGTCATCGTATCCACCCCGGTAGTTGTGGTAATCATATCCATAGTAATCATAATAGTCTTCATAGCCATAATAATCAGGAGTGTAAGAATAACCTCCCCGCCCACCTCGTCCTCTGCCTCTTGTAGGTGGCGGCATGTGGGGAGGCCCATAGTAATAGTACTCATCATACCTGGAAGAGGATACATAGCATCCACATAAACATGGTATTCTACTTTATATCCAAACATCAATTTGAAAACTGCATGCCTGTGCATTGCTCCCTTTTACATTTGTGTTTTAGCTGCTTGTCTCTGAGCTTTGCGCTCCTTCCTCTTCTGGTCAGGAGGTTTGGCAAAGACTATTTCAATGTGCTCTCCTTCAAGGTCTTTGCCATTGAGATCAGCCAAAGCCTGTAAAAATGATTACGATAACATACTCACTGCAATGCCAACAAATTTACAGAGTTCAAAGACAAAGGGTTTTGATTTTTCATCTGTACCTTCACAGCACCATCTCTTTCCTCAAAGTGGATGAACGCATAGTCTTTCAATTTTTTCACCCGCTCCAACTTCCCAAACTGACTAAAGGTCTTTTCAAGCATCTCCTCTGTGACAGTGCTTGCCAAGTTCCTCACAAACAGCACCTTGACCTGGGGGATGGACACAAACAAACAAAAAAAATGTTTTTTTTTTTTTATTATTGAGGCAAAGGCAACAAATGCGGCTGCAGGAGACCATCATGGAAAACTAATTTTGGCTGCATATACACTTAACTCCATATTACCAATGAGCCTTACCTTAGCCATGACCTCTGGGTCTGGGTCTTCTATGGGATCAGCCCACTCCACGGTGACAACGTTTCCCCACACCTTCACCTTGCCACTCATGAGGCGACGGCGGGCCTGAGCTGCTGTCTTGTGGTCTTCATACTCCAGGAAGCAAAACCCTCGATTCTTCTTCTTGTCATCTGGCTGGTGGTACAAGATGACATCATTTAGACCCTCTGTAGAACAGAAAAGGGAGAGAGGTAGAGAAAAAGCAGCTGGTGTTTAAGCAACTCTGGTCACTACAAATCTCATGTACATCAGTGACCTACCAACAAGTGACATCAAATCTTCCATTAGAAGCAACCACTAACAGGAGTAAAATAAATAATTCTACCATTCAAAAGCTTAATATAAAATTATTCATTGTAAAAATAGCTTAATTTTAATAAGATGCTGTACAGAGAAGACTTTGCAATGATATATTAAAAGTAAAAGTGCTTGGAATTAAAAAAATAAAAATAAAAAGCATTTAACTACTTTTAGTGTCCAGTCAGATCTTAGCGGTAAGCCATCATAGCAATGTGAATTACTCCAGCATTGTACTTTACTTTGATCATCATTTGGACACAATGATTCTTGCATTAAAAGTCCTCATTCGCAGAATGACTGATCTAATCAAAATTATAGGGTTGAAGCTGTTAAATATTATACAGAATGAGAAATCAAACAATGGTGCTGACTCACCTGTGACTTTTGCAAACTCTTCAACAATCTGCTCTTTTGTTTTACTCTTGGGGATGGAGCCAACAAACAGTCTATTATTGGCCACAGAGATGCACACGCCAATGTGCTTACCCGGTCGAATTTCATTGTTGTTGCACTGCAGAAGGATGGAGGACAGTGTAAGTAAGAAGTGACAAAAAAAAGTGTACAGGATGGAGCCTACACCAACTTGATGTGGTTTGCCATTTCATTTCATTATATTAGCAGACTTATTTCACACACCTCCAAGTGCTTTAAATACTATTAGGACATTGTATGCTATGTACGCTTACTTTGCTCTGTCGATTCAATTATACTGGTGTTTTGTCTGACAACTCCATCAAACCCCCTTCAAGTCATAACTGCAGTAGAACAGACATACCAATTTGACAGCCTGCTGTGCAGCTTCTTTAGTACAGAAGGTGACAAACGCATAGCCTCTGTTCAGGCCACTGAGAGGATCCATCATCAAGCGCAAGTCCCAGATGGGGCCAGCTTTCTCAAACAGTGGAACCAGTTCATCCTCAAAAAGGTCTCTGGGGATTTTTCCTACAAATATCTGCCAGGTTGAGAGGAAAGATAACAGTGTGTGAGTGCAACTCCTTAATTTGAAATGTAGAGTCAAGGCGAGATAGACAGCATTTAGGTAAAAAGGTATCCTGTCAGCTCTTAGCAGTAAACTATCAGTATAACTAGTGTTTGTACAAAAAATGTTTGTCTCTCATCATTTGGACGCCATATGACACCTGAATGCAGCTGGCCCAACACTTAAAACAACCAAGTAAATAAGTGTGCCATTCTTGCACTGTAATGCCCAGTAAACAGTGTTATTTTATGGTGGCAGGTGTCGTACCTCTGTACCAATGGTGGGCTGTGCCCCTGAGTGGGCTGACTCCGGTGGGGGGCCGCCATACTTCCTCTGGCCTGTTGTCACATCAAGTGTGTAGCCAGTCCTGTCCAGCAAAGCCTGATGTCGATAAAAACAATGTCAGGTTAAAAGGATATCATTTAATCAAGTCAAGAATGTGTCTTGTATTCGAACTGCATCTTCACTACAGAAACAAGACTTATTTTGGCACCCGAAAAGCAACGCATTAGTACTCACACACAGAAAAAGCCACAAAAAAAAAAAAAAAAAAAAAAATAATCTATTTTAATCTAACTTTTTTGTATGGTTATCAAATCTCACTTTGATTTTAGTTTCATCTGGTCCTTTATTGGTGTCTGAAACTTTGGTCCCTTGTTTCCCTCTTTGTCTGTATGTCTTCATCACGCCACAAAGAAAGGCACTTTTGTTCTGGAAAACAACAACAATTACTCATTATCAAAATTTTAAAAATGTCATCATTAAGACAAGTTCTGATTATTTATTCTGCAAAAAAAAGTGTTACACAAGACAGCAAATGTGCATCTCAGTGACATGACAACTAAAGCTACTGTGCAATCAAAATTCATATACATTACACTGTTTTACAACACACTGAGCACAATCATCCACCTTGCATGAAGACATCAAAAATGAACAGAAAAATATGCCAACAGTGACACATACAGACCTGAACATGTGAGAGGTCGCTGTCCTTGAACTGCAAAAGGACTTGCAGAGCACCTTCCTCGTTGAATTCTTTCAGAGCCTCAATCGCTCGATCATCTAAGTCACTGTGTGACACCAAACCTGGAGGAAGGGGGACAATGCAGAGAGAGAAATGATGAGCTACTGACAAAGAGTTTTCATATCTACCTTGTCATTTAAGCACAGAAAGGACAGTTCAATTAAAAGGATCAAAGAAAATTTACATGTAAATGATCTTGCATAACAAATCTTTTGTGTAATGGATAAATAATGATTACTACAATTAAGAGTGGAGAGGAACCAGTCTAATCTTATGAAGGTGTATTCAGTATTAAGACTGTACTTCACTCTACAACCATCATGTTTTTGCAGAACTAATCACAACAGATGTAACGGTGCAACTCGATATGCCATTGCCTCGCTATGTTCTGGCTGGGAGTTTCTAATGAGCCGGTCTGCATTCTCCTCTATGAAGGGGCCATCACCTGTCCCAGACAGCCACACACCAGACAGCTGCCGCCATTGTTTATGCCTCCGTCCCATCTGGCTATAAAGTCCAGATCAGTACTTTTCTCAAGCTAACTGACCAAGCAAGTCCTAAAATGACCCTGAAAATACTGTCACTGTAGTTCACCCCCATCCAAACTTCTAGAGATCTGACAAAAGCAACAAATATCTAAGCTGTAGCTGACATGTTTACACCTATTCATCCCTTACCAATAACTTTACTGAATGTGAATAACTGTCATAGAAATGAATGGGACAGTGGACAGTCTCACTCCCAGGGAGAGGACAATTCATTCGCCTTGACCCCAGTGATCATGCAACCACGTTGGGAATGCAAATGCTGCAATCATTTACACATTCTCACAACAGTAATGTGTAATTTAACATTCTGTAGCACTGCAGTACCCATTTTGGTAGGACACCACAAAAAGTTGCTTCAGGATCCCAATTCCCCCATTCAAAAAGGTGATGACAGTACATGCAAGAAATTGATAAACATAAAAATTTGCATATTTGAATATGCAAGTATATATTCATTGTGCCTTACCTGCTATGTAAATTTCATCTAGTTTTTCAGCAACTTTCTGTGGTAAACCAGCTTCTAATAAAGTCTGGAAGTGCTCAGAATGGGTAATTGCAGCAGAGGTGTCCATTGGTTCTTCTGGACCATTTCCATTAATATGTTCTGTGGCCATGTCTCCAGAAATCTGTGCAAATGCAATGAGCCAAATTAATCCTGGGCCAAGGGCAAGACTTGGGATTTGTTCTGGAGAGTGCAAAGTCTCAAACATGTCAAGCAAATCATTAAACAAAAATCATTATTCAACACAACTCATCAATAAATTATCAGTCAACAAGCAATGCTGCTGTGTGCAAAACAAGTTATTGTAGTTAGGTGGTGCTTTACAGTCTGGAGACTTTTCACTATCCTGAGATAAAACTTGTAGCTCTCAGCTTGCATGAGGTAGAAGCCCAGAAACATGTACATAAGATAGTTGACACACTGTGCACAAAACAAACATTGCACATACCACCCCCAGAGAAAAATCAGTTAAAAGACATCCTGCATCTATACAGTGCAAGTCTTGGGTTTGTATCTGTCTGTCACACTTTTCACACTGGTTTGTTCTAAGTTAAGCAGTCTGTGCATATGGAGCTAAATTCACTTACTAACTTCCCTCTCTCAGCCCTCTTGGTTGCTACTAGTGCACAAGCCTCGACTGCTTTGGTCCCTAAATTACACGTTAGCTTACCTTCTCACTGCTGACTTCAGCACAGGCTACACAGTTGATACACGTGTTCCATCAGAGCTAGGGACCTAGTTTCCGGTGGCTGACCAGTGAGCAAGTATGCACCCTTATGCATTTTGCTCTGACACTAATGTATACTCCAGTCATAACCTTAATGACCGACCCTACCACTAGTTCCCATTTGTTTGTATTGGTAGACACTATTGTTAGACTTAACGTTACTTCTGCAAGGCAGTAATCTAACTGCCCTCGATTCACGTTACTGTTTGAGGCTACACTGTACTCAACAAAACAAATTTTTTTGGCCTAAAGTTAACGTAGCTAACATTATCTTAAAGATGTCATGCAACCGATACCTTGTAGTCCCTGCTAATCTATCTCATATTGGTAAGCACGTGCTTTCTCTGTAGTTAAAAACATTTCTGCAACGTTAAAAGTACCCGTAATGCACGAGTGCAGAACGGCCTTGATTTTTGCTTAATTTATCTAACGTTGGCAAATTGCAGGAAATGAGCTATTTTAATCCGAGATCTGTGATAGCGTTAACGTTAGATTTAGCGGGGAGGGACTCCACACGTTGAGGCTAATAGCTAGCTAGCGGGCTAGTTTCCGCAGCTAACTTTGAGCAATCAAGCTAAATATGGACCTTCATTAGGATAATAACATAACGTGCCGGTGTGCATTTTGTATGTATACATCTCCATTTAGTATTTTGGCAGGCAAGGAGAAAGACGTTAATACAGTAATAATGCAGGATTGCAAACTCTTGCTAAGATAACTAGCTTTTGCCAGGTAGCTGCTTTTAGCATACAATGACAATGAGCATGTCAATACAATGATCTGTCAAAATAGGCTAGCTTAAGATAGCATGCTAATTCGAACGGAATTTCAGTGAGGCCATTGTCACAACGTCATTTTTCGGTCCGGACTTAACCAAGTGACAAAGTGCGGCTTTCAATTTTAACTAGATTCAATGAGGCCTTGAAAGCTAAATGTCTAGCCTTCTAGATGCGTGGTTTGTCAACGTGCCGCCACATAGGAAGAGTCCATTTTCAAAAAGCCGGTCTTGAGAACTCATTCCCAACCATAACCAGTTTCCACATTGTTTGAAACAGCACCGCACTATTCAGGCTTTTTAGCAATCCATTAAGCAACAATCACACGACCAATTACCAGCATTCGCCCTACCTGTCGCTGGCTCACCAACGTGTATGAAGTTGTTTACTTAGGAAGATAAATGTGATATTTAAAGGACAGAAAAAGTGTAAAACTCCCGGCACTGATCCGGCCTCACTCATTCACTCTTGATGATGTAAAATGGCTGCCACGTTCACGCCTCGAGTTTTGTCTCGTCGATGGGGTTTCTTGGACAGCCCTGCACGGGCTTGCCTTGTATGCATTTTACAGTAGAGCAGCCAGTACAATCATTAGAACAGCTGGTTATCCACAGCAGCCAGCATTATCATTAACAATGACTAATTTCACATCAGTGCTGTTTATTTGACGACTACAAGTGTTGGCTAATATAACAGCTAAACGCTTTGCTGCAGAAATCAAAGGTTCAGACTAAAAACAAATTGAAAATAAATACAAAAGTAATGAACAATGAAATAAAACAAAGGGTTATAACAGTGACCTCAATTATTATTAATAATTTACTAATAACCTACTGCCACCACCACCAATATATTATTGTTATTATTATTATTATTATTCAGTATTCAGCATTCCAAATGTCAATCCAAATGTAAGTACTTATGTGATCATGTTGGCCTGTACTTGTATAGTATAGCAAGGGGTCACAGTGTCACAGATATGGTGGAAACACAGGTTTTTGTCCATGTTTTATTAGTTTATTTAAGAATAAAACTGAGTTATAACATTGGTTCCTTGAGAATTCTATTTGATTTGCATAAATTATTCCATTGCAAATTTGTGCTAGCCAGACACACAAATGTGTGCTTTGTGGTGCACCACTGAAGTTGAAATGTAATTAACAGGTTATCCACAAATAATAAATCTAAAATCTACCCTGTTTTATTTATATTTGAATGAAAAATCGCATGCATTTATGTTTGACATGCAAATCTTTTATTATTATAGATGTTATAAGGTCACATTTACTGGGATTCACATGAGCCATGCATTTGTATTGTTATCTACATATGAAAACATCTTTTGATGCTAACTAAAACTTTAGCTTTTGATAGGGGGCCAAAATATTTTTGTTGGAGAGCAGCAAGGCTATACCACTGGTAAACAAAATGCAATACATCGTTTGACTGGAAGTAGTGAGGTATGTCCTGCTTTCCACCACACTGTGTCACTCTTTTCATGCATTTCACACTCATCTGCTTCATGAACAAAATACCAAGAGTTATGTTATACAGAATTACATGGTATTTTTGCTAACTTTATAAGAAATATTCTTTGCAACATTTTCATAGGAAAGAAAAGTTGTATTTGTCATCATGCGTGCATTACAAAAAAAAATACTTGTGATTGTTGCAGAAATATTGTTTGCTCTTAGTATCTTTTGACAGGTTGTCATTTGCAAAACTGCAAGTAAAACACTGGTTAAAACACTCTTTAAATCATCAACTTTAAAAGTTTAAACCGCAGTTTCTGGATTCACATACATGATGGCTCTCTGTCTCTGCCTGCTCCTTGTTTGTTTTCTGGCCCAGGAACCAATGTGCAGAGTAAGAAAAGACATGAGGAAACAGCCTACTCTGGGCCTCAGCCTATGTACTTTAAGTGGCTTCATCTCTAACCTCACTCTCTTCTGTTCCTCCCTGGTCTTCGCTACCATTTGGGTTAAACTTTTGTGTTTTGCTTGCACAACACTCTGCATTCATCCATAAATGTATTAAATTTACATTCAAATTAAATTGTTTAACCTTTGAATTTCCCTTTTGGTCACTGACTTTAGGCCAATTTATGACATACGTATATTCGAACAGTAACTAGTACATGACTTACATAAGTAATTATCAATTGAATAGTGATTGTGTCAAAGTCGATCCTTGACAAAGTGCAAAGTGCAAATCCTTTGCGGTGTAAACACATTGCAGTGATTGGGACTGGGTTATCTGCCATCTTCATTCCAGCAAGACCAAATTATGGGCTTCATGTTTGGCTCATGGCTGAAGTAATAGAATTTTAGCATGTCACTTAGACTCCAACAGCTCTCACAGATATAGCACATTCATAGATGGATGAGGAAAGCTGGCTGAAATGCCTTATGCAGATGTGGAGGAAAAGAGCAGCCCCGGGGTCTCTAACCAGTTGGACGTGCCAGGAAGACCTCCAAAGGGAGGCGCCCTGGAGGCATCCTGATAAGATGCCCAAACCACCTCAACAGTTGAGGTCGTTCCCTTCTCCATTCTATTTTTATATGCCACCATCATGTCATTAACTTTGTGTGTTCTCTCTCTCCCTTTACCTTTCTGCAGGTAGCCCTGGCTCTGTAGCTTTATGTTTCTGATGAGCAGCCACCAAACACATCAACCTGCCCAGTATTTGTTTGTTTGTTGTTTGTCTTGTTGCTTTTCTTTTCTTTTCTCTCTCCTCTATCCACTCACCCCAACCAGTCGAGACAGAAGGCCACCCACCAAGAGCCGGGGTCTGTTGGAGGTTTCTTCCTCCCCACTGTTGCCAAGTGCTTGCTCAAGGGGGATTTGTTGGATTTTTCTTTTAAGCTAGACTAAATATTGCATTTAATATCAAAGTAATTTTGTGGTAGGTTTTTGTTTTTTGTTGTTTATATTTAATGTGCGTGAGAACATTATGGCTTTATGTTTATTTTTAGTGATATACAATAACTACCACTGTAAAACAGCCTTTAATGACCAGCAGAACCACTATTTACCTGCACTAGCACACACTCTTAAATGAGATTAGGGCTGTAATTGTTCTTGTATTACAGATCTGTCACACCACCATATGGAGACAGTATTTTTGTCCTCTTATCGATCTAAGCAAACCATCTGGCTCCTGAACAACAGCTTCAATTTGTAATATTCCTTTTTGTTCTTTTTTATCCAGCCTTCTCATTCTTATGTCTAAATTTAAGATTCTGAATTAATATTTGCAAGTTCTGACATTACTTATAGACATTATTGCAGTTCTGTCCCAAAATCAGTATTGTGATGTGCCTTCCATGTGTTGCTGTGCTTCAGTAAATTGAAACTCTTTCATTTAATGAATATTTTCAGCCAAACCTGAGCTTGAATGAGCCTTGAATATGCCTGGACTGGACAAGTTCCATATTCATTTCCAGTCATCATTCTTGGCTATCTCTTTGCTCTCAGGCGTCACCGGTTGTTTCGTGGCCTTCTTGGTGATGTCATCCAGACCACCTTGGCTTTCAACTGTGCAGCTCCTGGCTGAATATAAACATGATCTGCTGACCCTACTGTGCCTGTCTTCTGTAGCAACACTGATCGTGCTGACACCAGAGCCCCTGAGAATGTATCTGACCTGTGTTTCTTTGAGCGTGACCATGTAGACTACACAATTTACTCCACACCTGGGGCTTTCTACATCCCTGTGGTCCTCGTCCTCGTCCAGGCGGATCAATACAAGGAGAAAGTCTAGAAAACAGGCAGGATCAAGAAAATAAATCACAAGTCTGCTCCTACTAATTATGAGTAATCTTAACCTCTATTGCTAGTGTATCTGCAGAAATTAAGAAATACAATGCTTTGTTTTTGAAATTCGAAGGGCAGGTTATTGAAAAAGACTCTGCCGGTTAACTTTATTTGACAGTGAACTGCTGTTGCTTTAATGTACAACATCCTTTCTTTCAGGTATCTTACACATCTCCAGTATCTTCTCATCTGATTCAGACACACAAACTCACTCAGACAAATAAACATGATAGGATGTTTAAAAAGCTGTCACAATTTAAAAGGTTAAATGTCACAAATTTATACCAGCTAATGCCTGAAATTATATTTTTATGTATACAAAAGTTGTTTTCAGCGAACTTAAATAGGCCTATGTATTCAAACAATGCAAACCAAAAATAAATATTAATCCTAGCTGGAATAACAATTAGTACAACCTATTATGAGGTTATCATGAGTTTTAATAATTTTGGAAAGAGGGTTACAAATACTACAATTTAAGACAAGAACAGCATTTAAACATCCTCCACACTTATTGAATTACAGGTATTAGGGCAAGGATTTGTTACCAGCACAACTAAGGACACAGGACATTAGTACTAAGGTAAACACATAGGTGAAATACAAAGTAAATTCATATTCATCCTTGACATTTCAAATGTTGGGATCAAGCAGATGGATATCAAGTATCTCTCCACTTATTCGTAACCTCTTCCATGCACCCTTCTTCCACATTTGAAGGACCCATTGCACTGAAACACTGAATTATGCCTCAGCTTTCAGTGTAATGTAATATTATGGATAAAAATACAGCTTAAAAATGGTGTATTTATTTGATAAACGTTTTTATTTTCAAAGCTGGCATGCAGCATTCCAGTAATCCAGTGTGCTGAACTGGTCTGATCCTGGGAATAAATACATATTTTACAAGACAGTAGTTACAATAATTTATGTATAGTGTCCAGTATTACACTACAGATATAAACTGATGTAGGATTGCAAATAACAATTACAGTTATTATTGATTAGTCTGCAAATTATTTGTCCAATTATATGTTTGTCAAAAAGGGGGGAGGGCAAATTATTGTCAAAAATGTTCAATCAGGCTAATTGATTATGTAACCAATTGTTTTAGTGCTGGTCTCATTTTGATATCAATCTTTCTAATAAATTGAGGTTACTAAAGATGTTTATTGAGGAAGCAGCCACTTTCACAAGTAGTGCATATTCCTCTGAAAATCAATGCAATTTTTTAAAATTACTCTTATTTAATTAGATCTTACACATTGACTTGGTTGAAACAAAGGAGGGTTGTTTGAAAATGGAGGGAAATGTAGATCTTATGCTATATGCTATAGTCTTATACTAACTGTTAAATATTAAATATGATTTTAAAAAATAATGTAAAAACTTAGCATGCTATTCTTTTGGAGACTGAGTAGATTCAACTAGTATTTCAATAACCCCCTATAATGATTCCATGTAACAATTCTGCTGTAATCTTAGATTTTTATGATTTAATTAATTCAGAAACATAATGATAATGCTATCAAAAACATAAATAAAATCTACCCCTGTCCATGGGTGGCACATGGCAAAAAAACTGTCCAATCAAGACACTCTAAGTGGATACTAGATAATAAAATACCTTTAATAGAAATGGGCTAACACATTAAAACATACACCAATGCATATCAGCCCACTTGCCTTCCTCAGGATGTCTGATTAAAATGATTTTGTCACGATTCTAATCCTCTCATGCCACTGATAGAGTAACATCCTGCTTGTACAAATGTTCAACTGCAGTTCACCAAACTATTGACCCTTCCTTCACTGTGACATAAGAAATAATACCGACCTTCAGTTACCAAGTAACAAACACCCAGGGATTACATGGATCATCCATAGTCAGGTCGGAAAGATGATGGAAGTATGTTTTGACTTTCCACGGTTTGTTCTTATCAGGTGGGGATATAAAAGGATTATGAGAGAGGTAGCAAAGTGGCCAGTGAAACAGTAAGATCATTGATAAGGTTGATAGGTTTTACCTAATCCAGGAAGTTGGCAGGAACACTGGTATAAAATGGCATGAACTGAAGCAGAAATCCTCAATATAAAGGAGTCCTGTAGACAGGCAATGAAGGAGAAACTTTCTCTCAGTATGGTAATACTCTACCTCTGCCTAGAACTTGTTCATTGACAATTCTTTGATTCAGTAGATTTTTGGTTGTTAATTTTCTTTCCCTTCTAGATAACAACAATGGGTTCAGTGAAGTCAGCTGGAGTGTCTCTTCTTCTGTTGTCTTTTCTTCTATACGTAGCTGATTCTTACCCCAACATCGATCTGGCAAATAGTAAGTTTCATTTATAATACAAATATTGGTCTGTACAGTATTTGACTTTTTCAGACAAATACTACCGTTTATTATTAAGGCATCTAATTGTTCATATTTAGATTATAAAAAATGTAAATGTTTCAACCTAACGACCAAAGATTTACAGTATTTCTGTAGATGTGCACAATCTGCCTGTGATTATATTTGTAAAGGCTGTGCACTATGCACTGCATTTTAATCTTAGATTTCAAATGTAGTTGGTAAAGTACCACAAACTGTCCATGACTGACTTTTTAATTGTGCTTGTGAAACCACCATCATCTTTCTCCAGTCGGCTGTGAGGAATGCACACTCAGAAAGAACACTGTTTTCTCAAGGGATCGTCCGGTTTACCAGTGCATGGGCTGTTGCTTCTCCAGAGCGTACCCAACACCTCTCAAGGCCATGAAGACAATGCCGATCCCAAAGAACATCACCTCAGAGGCAACATGCTGTGTTGCTAAGCACAGCTATGAGGTACAAGTAGACAAAGACATGTCAGACATGCTTCTCTTTAAACTGTACAGGAGGTTTCAATAAGATCCAAAAGAGTCTTGAACAGGGCATCCTAGTAGCTTACCGGTCAATATGCTGGCTTGAATATGGCTTGGGGATCTTGTTGCATGTCATCACCATATGTTTATCCATGTTTCCTACCCAGGAAACATGGGGAAATTTTGAACAAGGTGGCCAGGCTGGGGCACGGACTCAGAGAGGGGTGGCACATTTGAAATACATGTAAAAAGTAAATTAAATCCCTAGTTCTATGAAATAATAAACCATATATTATTAAGAATCAAATAGTTTATTGTGTGTAAAAATGAGACACACACAGTGCTTTCTTTACCTAACTTTGGTTGTGCTCCTGATTTACTCCCGTCTGGGGACATCGCTGGTGCCACCTCTGGCCACCCCCTTGGCTCTGCTAAAATGACCTCTCAAAATCCTGAATTGAAATTGGGGCCTAAATAGACAAGATCTGTCCTAGTTCCCCACTGGGAACCACTAATTATAGCCAGTAATATGTAATCAGTCATAAGAGCCAGTTTTCATCAGAATTAGTACTTTTACCTTTGATTCTAAAATGTAATATAGTTAGCTGACAATGCTTTTACTTGTGGAATATCACTTGTAATGTGATATTTTTATTGCAGTAGTGATAACTTTTTCTTATGCAAAGGATTTCATTATTTCTTCTACCATTGTAGATCAGTTATTCTCAATGATATATTTGGTTTGAATTTACTTTATAGTGTACTTAAATTCTGTTTTCTGTTGGTTAAATGATCTTAAGAGGTGTATGAACTGCGGGTGTTTGAACCCCTCATACTGCTAAAAAAAGAATATTTATTTTCTGCTGTACTCTGTTGTATAATATTCACTCTTGTATCTTTCTCTGCATCTGTTTGTCTTTCAGACAGAGGTGGCCGGCATAAGGGTGAGAAACCATACAGACTGCCACTGCAGCACCTGCTATTTTCATAAGATATGACAGATGGGAACTGCAGACCAGTTTGTAGCCCCCAGCTTGCCAACCAGCTGTGTTTCTTTTAATATGCAAAAGCTATTCTCTGTTTTAAAATGTAGCCTATGTTCTTATGTTGCCAGATAATATTTTTGTAGCAATTCCTACAGTGTTTCCTTGATAAATGTGTAAGAGTAACTGTAGATTGAAAAGCAATTAAAATGTGCATCAAGATGTTGCATTTTCATTGTGTATATGTGTGTGTGTGTCACCAAGTATTACTCACAATGAAACCTGTTTACCCATGTATTCACATGGACTCAGCCTTGACTGTGCTGGCCCCAACCATGTAAACTGAAATTTAGAGTGACGACTTGGTTTAAGGTTAGGGTAAGGATTAGTTGTTAGGCAAGTAGTGCCTATGATTAAGGTTAGAGTATATCTCCAGGAAATGAATATAAGTCACTGTAAAGTGTCCACGAGGAATTAAAATAAATGTGTGTGTGTGTGTTGGGGTACTGAAAACTGAGAGCAGTTTTGGGAGGTATGTGCTTTGGACAAAAGTGTTTGCTATAGTGTAACAAACTATATGCAACAACATGAAGGCAGAATTTGACTTTAAGGTTAATTAAAGGATTATGCCATTATGTACTTGATTTTCAAATCAAAACTGGCAACCAAAATATATGTTGTGTTGCATATGAAATTTAAAATTTGAAATTGACGTCATCATGGGCAACAAGTCTTCAAATCACTCACAAAAACTAGAGATATGAACATCTACAAATTTATGACAACTGACTGAGCAAACTCCATCTTCTGATGAACATTTTATTGAATGACTGAAATCTCCACAACTGCTACAGAATTTACATTGTTTTGAAATTAAATTCTTTGTAAATGATCATTTCTAACTTTTGTAGATCATTATCTGCAGATATAGTGATGGGTAATCTCACCTGCTAATATGTGTAGCCTAAATAAATGTAGCCATCTTCTGAGGCTAAAATACTTAAATGTACTATAGCACACATCATAACTATAATAATTTTATGCTCTTCATTTTGCATCACTTACTAAGTGATATGCTACTGATGCCTTATGCCCTGCCCAAGTGACCCTGAGAGGCAGACCCTGCCTCTGTCTGCCCTGGAACGACAAGTCAGACAAGAATATGGTGCCATGTGAACATTTAGAGACAATGAACAAATCTGTGAAAATGTAATTTACTTTGCTGGAGGTTGTTTGCCTGATGATGCTCACGTCCTTAGCTGCCCTTTGTAGTGATGATAGCATGCAGTGTTCATGGAAATCCATAAATCCCATCTTTCTGAGATTGGCTCGTGAGCAGATATGTCACAGCCAGCCCGTGTGCAAAGTGTCACTTTGTGTAACTGTAAAGGCATTGACGCTTTGTTGACATCAGGGTTAAGTGCAGGCTATGTGGAGCATACTGTGTGCTCTCCCCTCCCCCCTGCGTGCGCGTGCGTGTGCGGATTTGGCAGCGTAACATCTGTGCGTACGCGGTCGTGATTGTTGTGAAGATGGCGGAGGGGGAGACAGAGAAGGAATATGACACACGGAAAGCTGTCGAGGAACTGCGAGAGCGGCTCCAGGGTCTGACCACAGCTTTGAAAGAGAGCTCGCAGTCTCCGCTGGAAGCCTCCCTGCATTTCTGCCAGGAGTTTTGCCAGGTTAGACCGTTCTCCTGCTGCTCATCCAGGGGAGCCTGCAGCCCCTCTGGCTTCCTGGCCGAGGATGCGCGTCTACGTTTGCTACAACAATGTAGCTAAGGGGCTAGTTGCCGAGCTAGCCGCCTGGTATTTCAAGATGGGGAAATCCACCTCTGTGGTTTTAAGCCATTCTCTCAACGACGCTCGTCTGTGGCATGCACTTATTCGCGAAGTCTGTCTATCCATGTGCCAAGAAATCACACGAGTGTGCGCGCACCGTGCGCGTATTACTCGTATTTTCCAGGCCAGATAGCTAAGAGCAGATGAATGTTGCTAGCTGGTATGCACGGTCCCCCCCTGTCCTGTGCAATGGTCATGCTGTGCAAAAAATGGATAGCTGCGTTAGCAAGATTTTCCAGGGCGATTGCACTGATATGCACTGAATTATATGGTTGTATTTGCTGTGGAAAAGGTCATTCAAACGTTATAACACTGCATGTCCATGCTTGTTTAGGCTTTATTTTAGTGTAAAAATTGGTTATTTCTCTGAAGCTGTTTCATTGTACCGAAAGATCAGTGATTTTTTTTTGTCAAGGCTAGCCCAGGCCTTTTGAACTAATTAATCCGGCTTACATTAGCGCAGATGGTCATTATAGGCATATAGCCAGCGCCAGGAAAAAGATGTGAAATTGATGTCAGTGTTACAGCAGGCGATCTGACTGCAGCTAGCTGAGATGGTAATTTAAAAGGGAAGGAGTGGCAGTGGTCACTGACTCCATTACACGTCCATCCTCATTAATTTGCCAACCCCACATAAGTATTATGCGAGGTCTCCATTTACCTGCTATGCAGCACAGATTCCTGTCACTGCACCAAAGTAGTGCGAAATTATAGATCTGTTTCTGTCCCACATTAACCGACTGGGAGGAATTCATTCATCTTAAAAGTTATCCGAGGAAAAGGGGACGAACCTCGAACGCTGGGTTCGTCGGATTATGATGGAGAGTTATCCAAAACGAGTGCAACTGTAGGAATGACGGGCTGGCAGGATGAAATGGATCCGTAGGAGTTTTGTGTGCGGAAGAAATGGAGGGATTTTGTTTTTCAGTGATGCATTTTGGGCTTTAGGGAAAAAGTGGGAGGATAGGAGGATCAAAAGTTGTTTTTTTTTTCAGAAGCACACAGCTGGTGCTCTGTTGCTTTAAGTTCTGTGTAACTTAGTTCTGATATATAATAACAGTAAATAGTTTTGTTTGTGTTCTTGGTAGTTTGTGGCAGTATGGAATTTTTTCTTCATCTGAAAGTTAGCTGTGTTTATTTTTTTTAAACAAAGATTACCATAAATCAACAAATCTGACCATTTACATTATTACTCTTTTTTTTTTTCCTAGCACAGAGGAATTAAATCATTTTTCCTCTCTAAACATTTCTCAGCTGCCATGATTATGAAGCCTGTATTTTGTCTTTTACCATGGAGCCAAAAAATAGTTTTGCCTATATTACAGATAAAGAGGTGTCAGTAAGTACAAGTTGTCTATATGTAATTACACCTATACAAAAGCTTTAGCACAGTAAGAAGTACATTAAAAAGGATAACTCTTTAGCAAAGATAAACGATAAGTAAAACAGGGCTGTAGCAAACTGTTCTTTATTGTTTAATCTGATGGTTGGTTTTTATATATTGTTTATTTTTGTCTTAAAAGTGATGGTGAAAAAAATGTTGATCACAATTGAGTCAGAAGTGACATCCCCACATTTATTGTTTTATACAGCCAATTGCCCAAAAACCCAAAGAAAGTCCATTTTTATTGTTAAAAAATGTGAAAAGCAACACACTATCTTATTTGAGAAGCTGGAAACAGAAGGTGTCCTGCATTTTTCCTTGTTGATCGACTGTTTAACTGACTAATTGTTTCAGGGCTAAAGAAAGATATTAGTGATTTATATTGTTTGTTTGACAAAACTGATCATTTTATTTTTCCGTAACAGTCATTTTATACTAGGATGTGCAGAATCAGCCATTGTGTGTAAATGTAGTTTGTATCCATAAAAAAAATCATTCTATCAATGGGATTATTCTATTTGTAATATTTTAATGGCTTTTATAGGTCCTTGTCGAACATGTCGGCCGTTGGAAAACTGATGAGGATCCACTACCTTTGCTGGAGGTTTACACTGTGGCCATCCTCAGCTTTGCTAAGGCTGCCTCCTGTCTCTCCTCCAAATGTGAAAATGTGCCAGTCCTGCTTGAAAAGTTAGCATTGTGAGTAGAAACTCTGACATGGTTGATACTGAAAATCAATACAAATAAATTCTGCGTTATGCTTCTTATTCTTGCGAACAGCATCTCTCTTATGAATTTGACCTGTAATATGGCTTATACATTAATGCCATGAACATAATGCTGAAATTGTAGGTGGGAATTTCTCCATTGAGTTTCAGTGTTCAGGGAGTGTGTAATGTGAGACGGAATAAGTTGCAGCTTTTGGATGTGCACCAAAACATGAGACCTAACATTTTGTTTGCTTTGCAGTTCCACTGGTGTATTTTGTCTTTGAACATGAGGGTTTACTAAGACAACTAATCTGTTCAGATACTGAATCAGAGATCCACAACATTTGAAATATTAGCTAATACAATAAAATCCAATCCCAACAGAAATTTAGGTATGAAAAGTTTGTCTGCAGACAGTGAGTTATTTGCACAATGTGCCCTTGAAGTAGGTATGAATGTGAAGTCCTCGAGGCTAGAATACAGAATAGAAATGTAGGTTACCTCATGGGGAGCTTCGACATATTTGGGCTGATCTACAGAGTAAAGTTTGCACATAGAGGTGCAGCACGTACACAAGAATAAAGGAATCAAAAGCAGCAAATGTTAATGTCAAGGATGCAACCTAATTAATTATCAATACTAATTTTGATCATGCAGTACATTATTGTGGTTGTTGTTTTTCATTACTACCATATTAAAAAAACACACAGCTGGGACTCTTTAGTAACACTAAAACTCACACCTTCACTGATGTGTCTCACTGCTCCTGAAATATAACTCAGATTTTTCCAGTTTGTCATTGCAGTTACATTTTCAAAATCCCCCACTGACTCTCCAGCTGCACACTTTGTGAATAGTTATATTTGTATGGTTCTTACATGGGTATTTGTGAAGTGTGCACACATCCTTGACCTAAATGTGGCTTTAACAAATGACTGTTGCATTCACAGGAGCTGTGTAGAGCTGCTGCTTTTACTGCCCCAGCATGTCCCTGGTGCCTTATGGGAGGAGTTTCAGTCCTCCATGAAGGTCAGTATCGTTGGGGCTGTTTAGATTTTTTTTTTCTACCTTACCTTGAATGGTTTCTAGCTAAACCATTTAGTTTAGCTCAGCAGTAAAGCAGTAAAAATGTAGGGGTTTAAATGCAGGGGTGTGTTGGTTCTTTATACTAGAGTGACATGTAAAATCAAAAAAAAGAAATGTAACTTTGTTGATGGTGACACAAATAGCTAGAACATTATTATAACAATTATTTCATCCTGTTGGCTCTGGTCACATTTTAAGTGTGACTCACTGAAGTTTTAGTAGTTTATGCATATTTATTTGTCTTCTGTTGCAGTTGGCACACAGCCTTTTGCAAGAAAGTGGGAGCACACAGCTTTGTTTGCTCTCAGTTCTGGCACAGCAGGATGGCGTCTGGTCCAACACCACACTAAGCAGCATCTTGTCCAGTCAAATCCCTAAGACTGAGCAAAGTTAGTTCCTGACTTGATGTATATTGGTTTAGAGACCCACCACACTTACTCTTATAGTTTTAATTGCATGAAATGATAATTGTTTGGTCTGAGTTCTAATTATATGAGTTGCCTCTCCTGCAGTTTCTCACATTTTCTCTCTTGTCATCTCCATTTTACAATATCTGCCTCCTAGTTCATGAGTATCTCGAGTTGGAAGGTCCCACGCTTCTAAACATGCGAATAAAGCACCTAATCAAAGTGGACAGTGTTGATAAAGCCGCTGTTCTTGCAAAGATGTGCTCAGAATATCCGGGATATGAAGGAAAAGGGAACTTCAAACAAACATACTTGTTGTGCATCTGCATGACAAAAAATCAGGAGCACTTAATGGAAGAGGTAAGAAATGCCACACAGCAACACAGTCCCCTTGTGGATACTTGGTGCACGCTCCGCCTGAACAAGTGCTGTGCTTTTTGAATGGATCAACATTCAGTGTTTATGTTAAACATACTTTTGGACTGTAAACAGACTATTTTTCAAAACTAAACTGAACCAATAAAACTCACTAATTGCTTAGCACTTCCCCAATATTTAATGTAAAATGGTCCCGACATTATTGATTAAAAATGGCAAATATTCCTTTTTAATGTTAAATTTAAGTAATTACTTCTCTTTTTTCCTGAATAGATTGCATCAATAGACTGTAAAGATGCTCTTGAAATGATCTGCAACTTGGAGTCAGAGGGGGATGAGAAAGGAGCTTTCTGCTTATGTTCTGCCTTTCTCAAGCGACAGCTACTCCAAGGAGATGTTTACTGTGCCTGGTAAGTGTTTGTTTCAGATAAAGTACTCTCAAGAATACAGTGGCCTTGGAACAATGTATAATGCAGTTGACTTTTATTCTAAAATAAGCAATGGAATTAATAAATATGCACAGAGATCCCCTCACTGTTGAACAGATCCTGATGCTGTCTGTTTCAGGCTCAGATTCTCTTGATAGCTCAGTACTTGAAAGGTTTTGTTTTCTAATGTTCCATAGATCAAACAAATACTTGATAATTGATGATGAAAATAGTTTTTGTTTTTAACAGTAGCGTTTGTAATGTTTTCCAGGGAACTTACACTGTTCTGGAGTAAGCTACTCATGCGTTTAGAGGCATCTGCTGATGCTTTTCTCGGACACAGCAAAGAGATGGCACTTATGTGCAGAAGCGTCTGTCACATTCTGTTTCTCATTAAAGTTATCCAGAATGAGGTAAGAACAATAGTCTACAAATATGTAGCTGATAGCAGAATAATGAGACATGGCATCAACCATATTACTTTTTAAAAATTTCCATAGGTTGGAGAGGTGGGGCTTCCAGTGTGCGTGGAAATGTGCATTCAAGCTCTGAAAATGACCTCCAGTGACCATAAGGACAGCAAGTCTACCATTTGCAAGACTATTTCCTGCCTCTTGCCAACTGATCTAGAGGTTAAGCGTGCATGCCAGCTGACAGAATTCCTCCTTGAACCAGGTGTTGACTCATATTATGCTGTGGAGTCGCTATACAACGAACCTGACCAAAAGCCTGAGGAGGACGGCAGTCTACCAGTGCCCAATTCTTTACGTTGTGAATTACTGCTGGCCTTGAAGACACAGTGGCCTTTTGATCCAGAGTTCTGGGACTGGAAAACACTGAAACGCAACTGCTTGGCACTGATGGGTGAGGAGGCAGCTATTGTGTCATCTGTTGACACACTCAATGACACAGATGAACAAGAAGTGGAAAGTGCCCTTGGCAAGCTCCCTGAATACAGAGACCTGGAAGATTTTCTGTTAACCACTACAAATGAACTCAATGAAATCACAGATGAAAGAGAAAAAAACAGAGAGGCTAAAAAACTTAGGGAGCAGGGTTTTGTGTCTGCTCGGTTCAGAAACTGGCGAGCCTACATGCAGTATTGTGTTTTGTGTGACAAGGAGTTCTTGGGTCACAGGATTGTTCGCCACGCTCAGAAACATTTCAAAGATGGAGTGTATCTTTGTCCAATTTGTGCTGACAGTTTTGAAAGTAGGGAGGTTTTAGAGCCACATGTAGCATCACATGTAAAGCAATCTTGCAAAGAGAGACTAGCTGCAATGAAAGCTGCAAGAAAGGTAACCAAACCACCTCAGTCTCCTAAAAGTCCATCAAAAAATTTGAAAGTTGCTGGTAAGACATACATGAACCCTGTTAAAACCGAGTCTCAAATTGGTGACACATTGGCATCTCCAACTAAGACTGAACAAACTACATCTGATACACAGATAAGTCAAGACTGTTTCTGTCCTGTTAAAAACTGCTCCAAGGCTTTCAAGTTTTTCCGTAACCTCATGGCTCATGTCCGATCCCACAAGGACGACGAAGAGGCCATGAGGTTTTTAGAGATACAAAAACAGAAAGTGGTGTGCCAGTATTGCAGACGGCAGTTTGTTAATGTCAGACATCTTAATGATCATTTGCAGATGCACTGTGGCAGCAAACCATACATCTGCATACAATTGGATTGCAAGGCCAGCTTTAACTCCAATTCTGAGCTTCTCATGCATCGAAAAACACACCCAGAATTTAAGGCCCAGTGCATGTTCCCTAACTGTGGTAAAGTTTTCAGTGAGGCTTACTTGTTGTATGATCATGAGGCTCAGCATTACCTTACCTACACCTGCCAAACAGATAACTGTGGTAAAATATTCTACTCACAGTCTCAATTCTTGTCTCACCAAGAGAATCATAATACAAATAATGCAGTAAACAATTTGCCCATCATAAATCAAAACCCGCCTGTCACTCCAAAAGTAGGACCACCACTCGAGAGCACCCCAAGCAAAGAAGACGCATGCTCTGCTGCGGTTTGCTTTGAAAGGATTAGCACAGATGTTTATATGAAGGAAGCATCGATGGCAAACACATCACCATGTAGATCACCAGAGGTTGCTAAAGAGCCTGTTCCTGTGAGAGTAAAACACTCGATTGAAAGCATGCTGAATTCAGTGGCATATCCTGAAATAAAAGAACCAGAGAAATGCTACACTCCACTGACAATCCCCACTCCAGCACCAACAGATGTAAAACTACCGCCGGAGGCTCCAGCTGTACACCACAGTGTGGCTGGACAAGGTGAGATTCCCCTTGTGTATCCTGTCCCTGCTGCAACAAACCCAGTGCCAGTTCACCAGGCTGAGGAGCAAAATAATGTTCAAAGTAATGAATTTCCAAAAACAATACCACAAATAATTTCTCCAAGTCAAATCAAGACAGAAATTCCTTGCTCATTAGAAGGATATCCCTCCAATACACCTGCTGCTTCTGCTGGCAGTGAAGAGCCCCTGCATTGCTGCCCATATAGTGACTGTACAAGGGCTTATAGTACAAACAAAAGTCTGTCTAGGCATGTGAAGAAACAACACCCTGAAATATTTGAAGACTGGAAGTTGGCAAAGAAATATAACAAAGTGGCGAAAATCACTGCCAAAAAAGCACCAAGTGGGCACGTGTCACCAAATCAGTCTCAAAACCCAGGGAAAAGGCTGTCACATCAGCCAGGAACACTATGCAACAAACCTGGGGTGCAGCAAATGGATTACCCAGTGGGATGCTCAACCTCACCTGTCCAGTGTTATCCTGCATCAATGGAGCCTGTGCCTATCACTCCAATGGTAAACCCCACACTGTACCAATCATGGGGAAACCTGAACAGTTCTGGAGGAATGATGCCTGCAGACATGTCCCAGTCATGGTCTTCACCTCCAGTGAACAACTGCTATCCAGATGCCTTCAACATGAATGATTACCCCTCCCGCAGCTATCCTCAGTGGCAGGCAGACCCTTATCAAACCACAGCGTCTCTTCCATCTGATAGAGATCATTCAGTGCCAGCCATACATGGTCCCTCCATGTCTCATGCTCCTTCAGATTCAAGTTTGATGTCTCAGTATGTGTCCAGTTCTCTGATGCTTGACAATGCAGGGCAAATGCATAATGGAGGGCATCAGTATGGGCTTATGCATGCAGAGAGTAGTGGAGAAGGTTTAGATGTGAGAAAAATCAGTGCTAGTATGACAGGACAGTTGGATAATGGAAATAGTATCTCGACAATTGACAGCCTTCCTGAAGGCAGTTACCACACTCCGTATGCTCAGAGTGAAAACTCTTGTATTACTCAAGGTTCATCAGTTGATATTCCCATGAAATGTCTGAGCCCTGAGGCCCAAGTTGCATTAAAGGCTACAAATGAAATTATTAAAACTGAGAATATCTCAGCTCCTGGTTTTGATCAGATGGATAACTCTGTGGATGGCATGCTCAGTCCACCTAGTGTCATTCCCACAGATTTCCCTTATGAGGAGAACTGTCCTAATGTTGACTGTGAGGCTAACCCCCCTGACGAAAAGGGCAGCAACACTGATACACACAAAGGGAAACGCATCAGGCTGAGCAAGCGAACCAAATGGCCAGCAATTATTAGAGATGGCAAAGTCATTTGCAGGAGATGCTTCAGAGAGTTCACTAGTACCAAATCTCTTGGAGGTCACCTATCTAAACGCTCACAGTGCAGACCTTTAGATGAAATTGACCTGACGGCTGATCTGCCAACATCATTTCTTGATTTTCTCAATGACCCCCATGTCCCTGACACCAATGGAGCAATATTTAACATGTCAAATGGTGATTTCTCACAGGAATCTTGTAGCTTGACCACTTTGACTTCACCAGTGGTACTGAAACAGGAGCCCCAAAATACAAATATCATGGATTATTCAAACTCTTTCTCAGTTTCCCCTGAAAACCAGCATGAGAAAACAGCAGAAGTGGAAAATCCAGTCCTCACTGTACCTTATCAAGAAGATCACCTAATGGAAATTTCACATGCTTTTCAAAGGCTGGATTTGATTGAGGCTGCACAGGAGAAGATGCGAAGTGCTCTGTCCTTAGAGAAAAATGTCCGTCATTGTGACCGTGCTCCTGAAAGAGAAAAAGGTAAAATAAAGAATAAAGGTGATGACAAGCCTTCTGAAAAGGTACCTAAACCTTTTAAATGTGACCAGGATGATTGTGAGTACTCATTCATGACAAAGGAAGCGTTATTCAAACACTTAAGCAAAATGCATGATTACTCTAATGAAATGATTGAAGAACTAAAAAGAACACCATCCAAACTGTCTCCATATCCTTGTCAGATTTGTCCAAAAACATTCACCAGGACAACAGGGTTGAGAATTCACTATGAAAAAGTCCATCGATTGTCAAAGACAGAAATGCAGAAGCTAAGGATCAGTGCTCGAAACAGGCGTGCATTTAGACTTAACAAAGATGATATGCTTGTTAGCAATGCAACCACCGATGCCAATTCCAGTTGTACAACACGCTTTGCAGCTGTAATGCCTGCTATAAAACAGGAACCAATTGACATTTCAATTGCACCTCAAACAATCAATGAAAACAATCCAGAAGTTACTCAAATCACCTCACCTGAAGATGCAGTAAAAGAGGGCTTTACACCTGAAATATCAACTGTTACAAGACTACCATCACCTCAAAACTATTTGAATGACAGGTCATTTGGTGAGGTGGCACTAGTTCCTGAACGAACCCCAGAGCAACCTAAAGTGGCTGCTGTAAACAAGAGTCCAGATGTGAAACAGAAATCTAGTTTGAAAGAGAAACTCAGTCCGACTTGCAAAGCAAAGGAGCAGCAAGGACGATCAGATGCATCTTTAAACAAAGTAAAAGAGTCGACATCCAGCCTTCCTAATGCATCTGCTTCATCTTCCCCAGAGAAACCTAGCAGCTCCAAAAACACACCCACAAAGGATCAATCCCCAAGGAAAGAGAAATTTCAGAGAAGGCTGAGCCTCAAAATGTATGACTCAGACAATGCCTACAGTCCATATAGACCATACCGCTGTGTTCATGAAGGATGCACTGCTGCCTTTACCATCCAGCACAATTTGATTCTCCATTACAGGGCCATGCATCAGGCATCCTTGCCTAATAAGACTGAACCTGACACTGAAAAGACTTGTGTTAAAAATGGACAGGAGAGCAATCAGAGTATAGGAAAAGATAATGAAGTCAGGTGTCAGGTGAAAAACTGTTCAAGGGTATTCATGGGAATCACAAAGTTAGTGCAGCATTACCTCTTACTTCACAAGTTCGCCCGTGACAAGGCCACTGCCATGATGGCTAACATGTCCATAGAGACTTTCAACTGTGACCGGCCAGAGTGTGCTCTTCCCTTCAGTTCTGTGGAAAATTACATTGAGCACATTAAGAATTACCACAAGGAAATTGCCATTTCTGAGAGCGGCTCAGTTGATCCAACTTTTAAGTGCGAGTACGATGGATGTGACCGTGTTTACACTACAAAATCAAACCTCCTCCGTCACCTGATCAAAAAGCATGATTATGTTTATGATCCCAAAATAAGTGATGGAAGAAGGACTAAATCTGTAGGGCTCTTCCCTGGGGTTAACAATGGAAAAGAGAATGTAGAAAGCAAATTCAAAATGAAGAAGAAAAACACTAAAAAGAAAGATGTAAAGTCCATTGAACATTGGACTAGTTTTGGAAAACCCACACTAAAATCCCACGAGGAGGCATCAGCCATGTGCATCAAGAAGTCCGCCCTGCAGTACCCGTGCATGATCATAGGGTGTGATGCAGTGGAGCGGGCTGAAAGAAATATATTTAAGCATTACACCACTCATGGCCTCACAGAACGATACATTGAAGATCAGAGGAGTCAGTTCATTTTCTGCAAAAAATACTCGCGCTCCAGATTCAAAGATGCAAACAAACCTGAGGGTGCGTCGAGCTCATCCTCTGAGGAGACGGAGCCAGAAGACAGCGACAAGCTCAGTGACCAGAAGATGGATGAGATGGAGGATAGAATAAGCCAAGAAGACAGCAAGCTGTCTAATGATGATAGTGCAGAATCTCAAACTTCCACTGGGACAGAAGGAGGAACTAAAAGAGGCCGTCCCAGAAAACCTGCACATCCTACACCAGCTTGTCCAGAGAGGATGCAGACCCTTAGGAACCGTTCAACTGTTAACAGTTCAAGAGAGAACTCAAATCCTGGTACTCCTTCAGCCCAAGAACAACGTGAGGAGGGGGTCATGCAAGGGTCTTTCAAGCCTTTAGGACTTGAGGACTCCTTCCTTAAGTTCTTGGAAACCTCAGAGTCAACCCACTCTTCCAAACGCAAATTAAATGATAAATCCAGTGCTGAACTACCGTCCAAGAAACAACAAACTTACAAACATAAATCTGCATTGAATAGTACAATAGCTGATGAATTTAGAGGCTATGAAAATGTTGTAGACTTTAGAAATCCATTAAATATCAAATCAGTGAGCAATGTCAAGATTGTCATGGATAAAACCTTTTCAGATGGTGCTGATCTTCTGCTAAAGCAGCTACAAGACATGAGGCCCATAGTCATAATAAAAAAGTGGCTTTATAGCGGATCATAGCTCATCATTTTGTTTTTAACTCAGTCTCACTCAGGATTTGAGAAGTTATGCTGCAGAATGGTTTGTTTATTTAAAGCATCAGATTTCCAGCTGTTAACAGTAATGGTCACAGTAATGATGACATGGCCTGTTTTGTACTTAATGAAAAAATGTCTTGGATGATTTTATGTATGTTAGTTATAATAACCAGGTAAGCTATAGGGCATAGATTTTAGAAACGTTTGTATTTATGCTTAGTACTGAAGATGTTTTTTTTTTTTTTTTTGCTAAATGGAGACTTTTAAAGAAAAACTATGTTTTTATATATCCCTATGGGATTTCAAGTTCCATTTGTATTTATTTTATCCTTTTTCAACACTAGTAGACCTATCTGTAATATTTACGTCTTCCACACAGTGTTCAATAAAATGTTACTGTTTCTTTTTGTAAAATATTGTCTGCAGCTGTTTTATTTTCCCCTAATGTCTGACTTTTGTAGTTTACATAGTTTGGTTTATAGTGATTTGTTTTGGGATATTTATAGGATTATACACTGCCCCGTGGTAACCTAATACAATTGGTTAAAATACTACTGACAATGTAATGTTTTATGGAAAATATATAGTAGGGTATAAGTATAGTAGTTGACCATTGCATCATTTCTGAGCATTATAGAAAAATCACTTTTAATATTCTATTCTTGAGTTACATGTTTGCAGAACCTATTTTGGAAACCGTTTTCATAGCATAACTGTATAGCAATTCATTTTTTACTGTTAGCACAATAAGTCTATACAATTCATTTTTTCCAAGGTACTCTGGGTGTGTGTGTGCGTGTGTGTGTGTGTGTGTGTGTGTGTGTGTGTGTGTGTGTGTGTGTGTGTGGGTGGGTGGGTGGGGGTTGTCTGTGTCTGTCGGTCCAATCTATCCAGGGTGTACCCCGCACCGCCAGTGTCAGCTAGGATTGGCTCCATCCCTTCGTTGAAACCGGTGACGTATCGTTTTCATAGACAATGGTGGAAAGGTCGAGGCTTGCAGCGAGGCCACTACAGGGAAACCAGGGTTCGGGGGTGTTCAAGATCAGCAATGTTAAGAAAACAAACCACCGCTGTTAAAACTGGAGAATAATGCCTATAAACTAAAAAAGAAAAAAAGGTCACAAGCTGAATTTGTAATTTGCCTATGATAGACGACACATTTGACCATATCCGATAACTCAGAACTTAAGAAAATATTAACACACCCGCGTTGCCTTTTAACAGCTGAACACAACCCTTTCCGGAAATGTCATATTGGCGGGAAGTAGGCTAAACGCCGAGCACACCCGTCTTTTTAAATGAATGCTTCACTGTAATCGAGACCTGAGTGCAAAGATGCTGATATTGAGCTAAAGAGCCATTTCATGTAGTTACTTACAGTCCTGAGATGTCGACTTCATCTGTGTCAAAGGTAACGGAATATATTGACGTTAGGTTTGCATGAAACGGGCATTGACAAACATGATACAACCAGGTCATATTTAACTACTTTGTTTATGATTACAGTTAGGCTGCACCTTTGTAACTTACTGTCACTGATATTTCAGGGATGTTTTGTCTTCAAACCAAGTGCCAAGAAGAAGAAGAAGACGTCCAGTTTGGGTGAGTTGTGTTGATATTTAAAGGAGAGTGTCTTTATCTTGATACGTTGACTTCCTAATTTATAAACGTGTCGTCTGCCATTTCTCCACAGAGGATTATTTCACTGTTGGTTGTGAAGTTGCTGAGACCAGTGAGATACGATTCAGGCTTTGTCAGGATCTGTGGGACAAAATTAAAACAGACACAGAGGTAAGAACAGGTACTGAAGAATCTTCACTCCAGTGAAGCAGTGTGGGGAAAGTAGAAGTAACTTGTCTCCAGTCTTAACAGTGTATTGTTAATATTAAATATTTATTATTTTAAACAAAACTCCCCAAAGAACTGATTTATTTAGTTTAGTTCAGATTTTTATCACTCCCCTTTGGAGCAACTTTTTATTCAATGAACGGAAGGTAAACAATAGCCTTAAAATATAAATGTTGTAGATTGTGTTTAACTTTTCTGTGTTGTTTGTAAGGTTTTACAGGATGAGCTCAACAGGAAAATCTTGGACAGTTTGTTGGACTTCACTAGGAAGTGTTCTTCCACCCGTCAACATGGCGACTGGACGTCACAGATGAGGGCCAGTGAGATTCCCACCGCAGCTCTTTTGTTAGGTACACTGGTGACGAGAGGGTAACCTTTGACTTTTGATTGGCTATTCCAGCAGCAGCCAAGTTATAATGTAATGGAAGCAAAATATTTCCACTCCGTTTATTTTCACCACTCTGTTTAAACCAGGCAGCGACCTCTGAGGGATTAAAAAAAATGAAGCTGCGGATGTGTTAAATGTTAAATTGCCCAACTTTACAGCAGAAATAAACGTGTTTACAACCTGGTACAAATGGTTATGGTCTCTATAGCTATTTTCCCCTTTCATGACAACTGTATTTTTTTTTAACTTGCCCATTTAAATTGTATTGAGACTAAAAGTTACACATAATTAATGGCGTAGCCATTTTGAGTGACAGGTGGGAGAGTCCTGCCACTGGTGGCTAGCTTCATTCTGCCCATTCAGCCCACCTCAGCTTCACTCTCGCTCCACCTCTTTGCCTATTTTTGAATTAGCCATAGCATGCGGAGTGAAGCGCTAGCAATATGGCAGCGGCCAAACCTGAGCTTCAAAACCACTCTTCAGAAAACCAGTGGGTGACGTCACGGTGGGTTTGTCCATCTTTTACATACAGTCAATGGTCTTAACATTAATATTCTCCGCAGGAGTGAACATCCCAGATCATGACATGACCTTCCAGAGTCTGTCTGACCTGCTCCAGCAGTCTGTCACTCCTCATGTGGCCTCTGTACAGGCCAAAGAGTGTGCAGGTAAAGGACTGTAAGGATTGTTAGTACTGATACTAATCTTAGAGGAGTAATGGTAGTGAAATGTGTCCCTGTAACAGTTTAAGCACTGACATGTATATTTCTGCTTTTTTATTTTAGCACTGAAGTATCTGATGAAGAGGGTCCTGGAGAGGTTGATGGGTACAGATGTAACCATGGATGATGATGATGATGATGAAGAGGAAGCGGCCAGCATTCAGCTTCACAAGAGTGTGCACTGCTCCCTTGGTACACTCTGTGATTGGTACAGTACAACAACTAAGGTGAGGTCACAAAACACTGGGTCTCATTCACCAACATCTTCCTAAGTGTTTTCTTAATTTTCTTTGTAGGTTCTCAAGAAAGGTCCTAAGAAAAGTCTGTGTGATTCATGATCACATTTTTAAACAGCAGAATTGTTTGCACCTGTGTTCTTATACTGATGAAGCCTATAACAAAACACTTACACACTGACCGAAATGTCCTAGAGACACTTAAAGAAATGAACATAAATTAGAAATAAGGATATGCACTTAAACCTGTTTGGGTTTTTAACTAATGTGCTTCCTAATTCTAAGATACAAATAATCACACTGGAAAAGTTTATTTTAAAACCTTAAAAACAAACTATTTGCTTGCTGTAATATTTAGTGTAGTGTTTATTTGTTTTAAAAGACCATAATGCTTTTTAAAACAATGGGGAAATATTAAAGAAAAACTTATAATGACAAAACTGTTACTGTAACTTAAATCTTATATTATACATCTGTAGAACTAATAAACTAAATGACTAGTTATTTCACACACGTCAGCGGTCAATTGTGCGTAAGTGAGTGTGTGTAGATTCTGTTCTTACCGAAACAAGTTCCAGAGAAGAAAACATTGGTGAATGTCAGAACCTTTTGTGAAAAATTCCTAAGTGGGTTTTACGAACAAATTTGTTCGGTGGTTGGTGAATGAGACGCATTGCTTGTTTCATAAAATACATTTGATCAGCTGAAGGAATTCAAACTAAACCGCATTTTCTGGATTTTCCAGAAATCGAAAACCGGTACCCCTGGAAAAAAGCGTAGTAGTTCCGTAAGAGATGAGCAGCAGCAGCAGCCTCCTGTTGTTATTATTTTTAAAGATTTAGAGGCCTTCAATCCGAGAGTTCTTCAAGACTTCATACTTATCTGCAGGTATCTAGGAACTCTAAACCTTTTCCATGTTATTTTATTTTATTATTATATCAGCCTCCACCCATATCTATAATAATAAGATTTACCCAAGTTTGTTTGGATAGCATTCACTATTTATAGATCTGTTTTCCTGTCTTACATTTTTCCAGTGAATGTGATAATATAATGTTAATGAAATTGTCACCTGTGTGTGTATAACCTTGTTTTCTGCTCCACAGTCGGTATATTGAACGTCTTCCGCTAATGTTCATCTTTGGTATCGCCACATCACCCAGCACCATCCAGCACATGTTGCCTCACTCTGTGTCCTCCCTGCTGTGTATAGAGCTCTTCCAGTCCCTTTCCTGCACACAGCACCTGGCCACAGTCATAGACAAGGTAGGTTTATTCTGACACACACTACAGTACAAAAGAAATGCATCTGAAGTTCATAAAGTACAATACATCATCCACATAATAATTTAAGCATTGTAATATACTGGGTATTGCACAACTTTTAATCATAAAGATGCTATATCAAGTAAAGCTGTTCTTTTGAAGATGTTTTACTCACTTTTTTAACTTCATGACGTGAATTCTACATCCTGTAATCATTATTGAGGCTATATTTTTTTAATTTGGCTGATTATTTTAAATCATTTGTGTCCCAGAGCACATGCAAAAATATTAGGGTCTGGTGTTTTGTAATGAGGAAACACTTGAGCTAGCAGTGTGTTTCACTGATGTGTTTTTAAACAACAATAGATGTCTGTGGCACAGACAAATAAAATAATCCAGGACTGACGGATTAACAGACATTCACAGTGAATTGAGGCGATTTAGTTTTAGTCTTTGACTGGGAAGTGTGTTTAAAATGCTATTAATATAGAAAATGACCAACTTTAAATGAAATCCCAGGACAGTAATTTCATTATTGTCCTTTCTGTGTTTTCAGTTCATCCTGACTCATCACTTCCCCTTTAAGCTCAGCAGTAAAGTGATGCAGGTGCTGATAAACATCTTCTTGTACCATGATTTCACAGTGAAAAACTTCATCAAAGGCATGCAGGTACAGAGAAGCTTCTAAATACTGTTTGTCTGCCCTCTGGTCGTGTCCTTGTCTGAAGATATAATTCAGGTTTGCATCCATGCAACAAAATATCTGCTCTGCCTTTGTGCAGCTGGCTCTGCTGGAGCACTTTCACTCCCAGCCTCTTAGTGTTCTGTGCTGTAAGAAGAGGGAGGCTTTGTATAATGTGATGCGGCTGAGCCACCGCGACCTGGAGAGAATAAGACAGCTGCCGTCATTCAAGAGGTGCACACAATTTGGTTTTCACACTACCTTACTTTCCACTTTTTAAAGAAACTGTATAAAAGTACCATTTAACCTGACTGGAAGCAGTAAACACGAGTATCTACCATAGATTTCCCCATAAAAATTTTATATCTTGTCTTTTTTTCCCCTCCCCTAGTTATGTTGAGAAGCAGGACCCTCAGGAACAGGCTGATCTGTTGAAGGATGACACTCATTTAAAGGTACATTCTTAGTTTTTATGTCTATACATGAGGCACTGCCCATTAATGAGTGCATATATCTAGAAAATCTACCACTTCAGGCTATTTCTCTGCTTGTAGGACGTGTGTCAGAAGCTGATAAAGGATCTTCACAAATATCACAAGAACTATTATCCCATCCTGAGGTGCCTCCACAGTCTGACCTCATCTTTACCTCGATACCCCCTCGGAAAACAGGCAAAACTCACCGCTTTATGTTTAAATAATAGAAACCTTTGAAAGAACTTTGATGCGTTTTGGTAGTAGCTCCACTTGTTTGTAATCTTTTTCTACAAGTATTTAATATATGTTTACCTTGATGTGACACTAAAATTATGTCTGTGTTACAGATCAGGGAGCTCTATTTAATATGCCTTGAGAAGAATGTATGGGAGAATGAGGATTACCAGTCAGCTATGAAGCTTCTCAAGTAAGTCTGGATAATTAACACTAATAAGTGGGGCCAACAAATGGATTATATTATCCGTTTTAACTACTAAATCAAAAGGGGGGGGGGTCACTGCACCTCCTGCAGCCATTAATAGCCATTAATATTCAGTAACATAGGATTGTGCAACACCAACCCAGTCTGAAGTTAGCCATCTGAGGTGCTGCTGTACTCTTCAGTTGTACGCCTCCTGTGGTTTTCCTTCAAGGATGCTGGCGAAAGATGAGTTGATTGCGTCACTCCAGAGGTGTGCAGAGATTCTGAAGTGTGAGAAGATGAAGAACGCGCTGGTCCAACTGGAGGAGCTGCTTGGTAAATTTCAACAGCTGGACAGTAAGTATTAACAAATGTAGTTAAGCTCTGTTCATAGATTCTTACTTTTCCTTCATTTAATGTTCATCTCGGGATAATCTCGTTCTGTAGAAACTTATTGAAAGAAGTGGAATAGCATACCCATCCCTCCTTGTAAGTTCTTGTTCTCTGACTTGTTCTTAGCAGCAACAGCTGCTGAAACTGCCCCAAGTGTGGAGGAGAGTTTCACCTCTCCTGTGAAAAACCTTCAAAAGAAAACTGATCTCTTCCAGCTGCAGAAGGTAGTATGTTTTATGAAGAATGGTATTTTCACTGGGTTCCTGGGAAGGGGATTCTCCACCTTGTTGATGTAAAACACTGACATATAAATACTCAAGTTATTCCCATGGTATTGTAGACGCTACTGGAGATGAACGAGTCTCGGAGATCCAAGAAGCTGAGTCCGTTTGAGGTTCTACGAGATGAAGCCCTTGAATTTATTGACAGCTTAGTGAAGTAAGACTGGTTGCCTTCTAGCCCTACTCAATGTGGTGCAGCAGTTTTATACATATGAATAGCATAGAAATTCTTATTCAACAAACAATTCTCTCCCACCCAGGAATCACCTGTCTCTCCCTGAGTCTCAGACATTGAATGAAGTTTGCTACTACAGTTCGTCTGCCACAGTGAGACGCCACATCAACGCTACACCTCGCACCTCCATTCGGGCTGCTCTTAGCAGTCCCTATTATTATCTTCAGGTAAATCTGACTCATCTTATCAAGTGTGTTACTATTGTAGGAGGGCCTGAAAGTAATAAATACTCAATCAAGCTCAACTGGCAGTATGAAGTGGTGTTTTGTATAATACTGTTAAACTGCTGTTATCTTAAACATGCTTACAGTTGTTCTCCATCTTTGGCTGCTCTTTCAGAATGACAGCCTAAAGGCTGAGGATGGGTCAGTCTCTAATGCTGCTCCTGATATCTGCATTGCTTACAAGCTCCATCTAGAGTGCGGCAGGCTGATTAACCTGTTTGACTGGCTGGAGGTATGTTGACATACAATTATTTGTGGGCTAATTATCTGTGATTTAACCAAGCAAGTAAACCTACAGAGATAATTCTGCTTGTATACTATTATCTTTTTACATGCACTGCTTTCACCTTCTCCTTACAAGTGGTTACGATCTGAACTACTTCTTTCTGTAGAAGAGGCTTTATTGACCCTGAGGATCAGTGTCATGTTCTTGATTTGAAGATCAGATACTGGCCAAACCGGACTAGACACCAACATGAAAATGTGTTTGTTCTCAGGCCTACACCACTGTGGTTTCTGCAGCCGAGGGTAACGATCCAGATTCTGAAAATTTTGGCAAAGTGGATGAAGTGAAACAGTATCCTTCCATAGCTCTGTTTTGGGTTTATCAATTTCAGATAACTGGGGGTGTGAACTACAATAAAGGTCACAAGGCTGAAATAATTGGCAGGTACAGCATTTGCTCCGGGGCCACTAGTTCCCATGTTGAGAAAATTACTTGACATGTGGCAGTTGAGTGCTGAGCTTTCACTTTTTTGTTTTTAATTCTGAAATGTTCCTTAACAATTTCTAGTGCTCGTTTCATCCGAGCTGTGTCTGAGCTTGAATTTCTGGGATTCATTAAGTGCACTAAGCAGAAGACGGACCACGTGGCTCGGCTCACCTGGGGAGGCTGCTGACCCACCAGCCAGAAAGAAAGATAGTCTGCTTTCATTGTAAAACTAAACTATTGTGACCTGGATTTATACTTCGCTGTATTTTCCTCTCTAATAAAAGATGTGATTAATGCCTGAGTCACTGTGCATTTGGCAGAACAGCATACACACACACTACATCTCTATTAAAACATTCAGGGCCATTTGCATCAAGTGCTTGATGTTCAAGAAGGATATAGTTTCGGCTGGTATGATCTGATAATCTAGAAACTCAGAACTTGGTATTTGTGCACTAATATTTTTATACTGAAAGCACAGCTTAAGCAAAATGATAGTTGGAAGTGTCCCATATACACCAAACCGACTCCTAAAAGATTTATTGGTTTTTTTCTTCCTTCCAATAAGTACATTGGTTTCAAAGTGACAACAGCAAAACAAAAGTCTAAATAAATAAAACACTGATGGGGAGGGGGGGGAAAAAAGTGCCTACTTAATGTTCAATTTTAAAAACAATGAACAGCGAACAAACTGGAAACGTTCTCTCTGTTCAGCTGTTTCTTCCAACTTCTTTCAGATTGACCAGCAAACCTTGTGTAAAACTGCTTGATTGTATTTACATGTAACAAACGGAAACAAATGACAAAGCCCGGAATGCTGGGAATCATTACAAAAGAGAGGGAGAACGGGGTAGATAACACGTACATCAGGAGGAACATAGGCCACTGGTATTGACAGGGTCCATTAATGTACATTAGGAAGCACCTAGTTGCTTACAACAGAGTGGTAACAACTGACAACAGCTTCATAAAAACTTTTGCCCAAAGACAGAAATATGGCACAGTAAGAAAGTTTCATTTAAACTAGCTAAACTGAATCTCTTACAGTGAGGCCTTTCTTTCTTGAGATGTCACATGACAGCTTGCAGCAAGAGAAGGCTTTCTTGCAAAGATTTCTGTGCCACACTCAGGAAACATCTGCATGAGGGGAGATGAAATTGAAAAAAAGAGAAAGCAGACTGGTTACTTCAGAGGCACATTCCAAACTGAGATCCAAGACTTGTTCACAGACAGGACGCCAGCAAAAGAGGAATCACTTAGACAACTCACAGCTTGCAGGTTGCTCCCCGAATCGTCGCATTAACTGATCATGTGTGAATTTCACAAAGGTGTCATATTGTTCTGAAATGTACAGCAAATCAAAGCGATCATTAATGTCAATACAAAAGTCTAAACCTCCCAGACAGTTGTTCAATCCTTTTGATAAAGATATCTTTAAACAATAGGCAACATCACCAGACACAGTATTTAGACACCAACAATGGAAATAACTTTATCCCAATACTAAAATATGGCTTGGTTGAAAAGCAAAAACAAAACAAAGCCATTTAATCATTACACAAAGCTTGGCAGAACAGTGACCCCCTCCTCAATGAAATACTACCATTTAACAAGATTACTGCTGAAATAATTGCTCACTTAATTGGTCGGGTCTTAATTTGGACTGTTATTCAATACATATACCACAATTATTAAAATGTGTTGCTACAACAGTACAAATGTGCAGACACTGAATTTAGTATAGTTTGTGACTTAATTGACAATTATATTTTAAAATAATAAAGAGCTTTTTATTTTTTGCAATCCATTTTTCACTCCCCAAACTAACCTATGAAAAAGTAAAACATATATCCTTGACTAAATATATGACTGGCCCTTTCTTGAGTCAACTGATTCATGTTCTTCTGTATCACAGTAATGTATTTTTGGTCCCAGTGGACCAACCTGCCAATTTTGATGTCATGGTCTCCTCGTACTCCTCCCGCACCTTCTCCTCCCTTTCTTTCAATAGGCGTTCACAGATCATTCCAACTTGTCTGAGGGTGAATAATGGCTGTTCTCTTCTAGTAGGAGAAACACCTCCAGAGGACGTTCCTGTACAAATCAGACAAACACCTAATGGAACCATGGTGCATGTGTTATTTGTGGCTACTTAAATACACATCACAGTTATTCTTAATCTAGGGCCCCCACCCCACCCCACAGACAATACGTTAAACAGCTAACCTGGCATGCTAGAAACATTCATAGTGGACGACTGGGATGGGGAATCTGGAGAATAGCAACACTCTGACTGGTGGTAGCCTCCGTCTAGATGCCTCCTCTTTTGAATGCGTTTGTACTCTTGCTTAATGTTGTTGAGGATTTGTTCTAGTTGGACAAACGATAACAATAAAGACAGAAAGATTTCTGAGACAAAGGAATCCAGTAGTATACTCAATCACTGATAAGTATGTGTGCTGTCTGGTTTGTTATACTGTGGCTCAACATGTTGCTAATGCCTCGAGTCTGGCTGGTCACCAAGCAGGCCAACTTGACCGATGTCAGTACCATTACCTGCACTAAGTCTTGAAGACGACTGCCCAAATGGCGAGGGCTCCATGCTAAGGTACTTCCTAGGGGATGAAGATGAAGACGAAGACGACGGGGAAACGGGGATGCATCTGCGTCTTTTGGGAGAAGTCGGACTCATCAGCGGATCGAAATCCATGGTCCTCTTCAGGGTGGCTCCACACGCCATGACTTCACTTTGTTAAAAAGAGAGAGGGGTACAAAATAGCGCAACAAAACCATAATAACGTGATAACATCAGTTATTTACGTTAGTGGCTATGCGTGGCAATTCTTTAATATGACTTGCTTATTTTAACCAGTCGGTTTATTTCTTCGAGGAATGCATGCTAACCATACTGCGCAGCCGATGCTTTAAATGCCTGCTAGCAAGCTCATGTTAGCTATGCGTGTAGCCAATAGTAATCAAAAAAAAAACAAAGCTAACGTTAGCTTTGACTACCACTGGAAAGAGAGTGCGTTCAGTGGCACGTTTGAATAAAGCAGTTTCATACCTTTAGGGTGGAAGTTGGTCTGACCAACTATGCTCTAAAAAGTTACTTCCCAAAAGTTGAAGTGACGATCAGCCAGCTGCGGGCAAACTGTTTGCTGTTAGATAGGAAAGCTTGCTAACCCAACTTACCTGCTTGTTTTTCCTATGGGCTCCTATCGACTTCTCCGGTCCGTGACGTCACGTATGAAGTACGCTGTAATGCATTTTGGGTTATGTAGTGAAACAGTAAAAGATGCAAAATAAACTTTTACTGTCATCCCAGCTATTGCTTACATAATCCGAAAGGCATATTTCTGATACCTTCATTATATACTATGCTCTCTTCTCTATATTGTCTTTATCAAATACGATTAAAGTATTTTATAAAACGTACAACTCCACTCATCACTGCGATCAGTCCATGTGAAATAATAGTGACAAAATCTCATTATTTCCACAGGGGTGCAGTGTTACACAAAACACAGAGTTAACAGTGGACACTATAATCCAGTTGCTTCTGAAAAGTCTAAGGCGTCACAGATGATTTAACAATTAAGAATGAAAAATGGCTATATATTTGTATCTAATGTCTTGTAAATTAGTCACATACTGATGTGATGGTTTGTTGAAATTTCATTGCTTTATTAAAAAAAAAAAACTGTTGACAACATTATAATAAAAATAGACAAATAATATATTTATTGAAATCATGTCCTTGTTTATACACGCATGATTGTTGCACAATGGCACAATGGACATTCACAGGAATATGGCTGTACAGATTCTCACAAATATTACATTTTAATAAGTCAGCCTACATGTGTAATAAGCATTAATCTTCCTAAATCACTACAAACGACAAATGTTTTGATTTTATTGAAGTGCCATTCTTACTTCGAGGTATGTCTCACTATGATGCTTAGCAAAGTACAGTAAAATAATTAAATAATTATGGTCAAATTTGATTAAATTTAACAATGCCAAATTACACCGTATCCACGTCTTACAAAATGATCAAACGCTGCTAATTTTACTTATTGTCATTCAAGAGTGGCACTTTTCATGAAGGTAGACACAGTTTCACCTTACTTCCATAATATAATGTGAAAAAACTGAAATGTGAAAAGAAAAATGCAGTATTTTACCACACTAAAGCTAACACCTCGAAAATATTTCTGCACATCCAAACTACAGATAACAAAGCACAGTGTGTTTACAGTGACTGTGTCTTGTGGATATGATTATACTATTTACTAAGTGACTTTAACATTGGCATTTTCATTTAGACTTGCACAACCTAACAAACCATTTATTAGCAGCATCTTCACACAGTATATGCTCAGTTTCTGAAGTTTCACCACACTCCATTTGCAGATGGTATAATAATATGTTAATATGAAACAATAAAAACGCATTTGTCAGTTCTGTATCTAAGTCATGATTTGGCACATTTCACAGTCACAAGAAGAAGTACACTAGGAGAGTATACTACAGAGCTATACTACAATATCTTCACTTCACAGTTGTACCAGAGCAGGCCATGTCGTCTTTTAAACCGGCTCTGCAGTAGAAGTCACTCCAGAAATGGCAACCTGGGCCACTTTAACTTTACTCTTTCCACCGCCAGCTCCACCTCTCCCTGTTCCACGTACTGTGCTTCTCATACTCCTGCTGGTCCAGTCACTATCAGCACTGTTGTCCAGAGGCTGTGTTGCTCCCCGGCACATATGGCAGATGTTGACGAAGTTCCTGCGCAGGTCCTTGCTCCTCATGGCATAGATCACAGGGTTCACGGTGGAGTTGAGAAGGCAGAGCATGGTGCAAAAGGCAAAAATAGTCTTGATAACGTCATTCACTGTCCCAAACAGGTCATAAACCATGATGGCTAGGAGTGGGCCCCAGCAGATGATGAGGGCCACCAGAATCAGAACTAAGGTTTTAGCCAGGCGGAGGTCCATCCGGGCCTGGTCAGGCCTCACTGTCTGCACTTTAGTCCCCTCTGCTGTGTAGACAATCACACTTCTCTGGGAGGTGCGCCTCAGCATGCGGACAGCATGATGGTGGGACTTCCAGAGGATGAACATATAGGCGTAGATGATGAACAGGAGCAAGATGCTTGTCACCCCAATCCAGAACATCAGATACTTCTGGTCAATTAGAGGGAAAATATCCGAGCAGACAGAATTGAGCTGCTTGCAATTCCAGCCCAGCAGTGGCAGCATTGAGATGATAATGGAGACTGCCCACATCATACTAAAGGCAATAATTGCTTTAGTCTTTGTGACGATGCTTTTGTATGCCATGGGCCAGTGAATGGAGATGTAGCGGTCAATCGCAGTGAGAAACAAGCTTCCTACAGAGGCAGTGTAGGAGGCGATGACCCAGGCCAGTTTGAAGAGGAAAATATTCGGGCTGTCCTTCCTATGGAGGATATGAAAGTCCAGAAAGCTGTAGACAAAAATGATGCTTCCTATCAGATCAGCCACAGCCAGACTGCCTATGAAGTGGTATGAAGGCCGAGATCGAAGCGTCTGGGAGTGTAGGATCACACACAGCACCATGAGGTTCTCCAGCACTGTAAATGTACCCAGGGTTAGTGCCAAGATGGCGATTGCAAGCTGCTGACCAGGCGTCAGAATCATAAAACACTCCATGTTATCCGTAATGTTTTCCCCGCACTGTGATGCTCCGCCGCCCTCCACCAAGGTGCCATTACCCAGCAGAAAGTCTGATACATTGGTGGGGAAAACAGGAGAGAGGCTGCTGTAAATAATCTCCTTATTTCCAGAGATGCCGTTACTAATCGAGGCAGAGTGAGGCTTCTCAAAGGGGAACTCGTTCTTGATTAGAGTCGAGTCGATGGAGGGGTCGTTGTAGCTGGCTTCATTGGAGCGAAGGTACTGGACACCTGTTGTTAAAGTGCTTATTGTGGTACCTGCTATCCTGTGCAGAGCCAACTTCATGGCTGTTTTGTGGCTGTAGAGATGCTCAGTGGAGAGATGTGTGGTGAAACAGCATTAGAGCCATGCAAAAGGACATCTATGAAGAAAAAACACATTCTTTCCATAAATAATTAATTTAAAAATGAATAAATACAACCTGCTACATTTATCTAAGTTTAATCTTTTTTTACTTAATAATTAATATAGTGGAAAATAAATTTCTTGCTGGGAGATATTTGGAGGAATCTGTGTATCAGCCAGCTGACTCTAAAGCAGATGCATCCCAGACAATAGTGGGAAACAGAACAGTTGATGACAAACCTGTGCAGCCTCAGGGGAAATCACTCCATTAAGTATGTAGGATACACAGGGCTTTCTTATTAATTAAAGAAGGTCATTAAAGCATCAAGCTGATTTTTGTCCGTAATCACTGGATTAATTAGGCATCAAGGGAGAAACCAGATTAAGAGTGCACATATCTGTCCAATGATGTATTTACAATTTGATATAGGGGATATCTATATTAATTATTAACAGTTAAGTTTACATGAAGGATTTGGAATAAGATGTTTTTGATGGGGAGAAATATAGTGGCTGCCAATCACACAGGAGTCTAAAAGCTTGTGCTTGGATCAAGACTTTACTGGTTCAATAATGATATTAATAATATTATCAATAATCAGCTACAGTAAATACAAATATATAAAACAGACAGAATTTAAACATTTATGAAGAAAATGATTTTTTTAAGGAAAATTACATACCTTGGTCTTGTCAATACAAACATCCTGGACTAATTCATGACGCAAAAACCAATTCAACTAAACTGGGAGAAAACCAGTCTGTGGTTGTTGTTGTCTTCACGCTTCATCATCAGTTAACAGTAACTCAAAAAGAGAAAACCAGTGTGAAGTTTTCTGTTGATAATCTGTGAGGATTAACCCGTGTTTCCTCCAAAGCTACAGTCAGTGTCAACTACAGTAGCCAGGCAGCAGCCGGTGTGTGTTTGTTGGAGCCGGTGGTTATATGGCTCCGCTTTGTGCGCCTGCTGGTCACGTGGTCTGAGGTGTTTGCGCGCATCCCCGAGCATCCCCCAGCTCGGGGCGGTGTGATACCACACTGATAAAACTAATATTTTCCTGTAGCGGTTGAAAATCACATTCATATGCAATGCTTAAAAATGTGAAAAAATAAAAATCAAATATCCGTGTGTGAAAATGTTGTGCGCTGTTAAATAAGAAATTACTGTTTTATTCTGACAATAAGTAAGTTGATATTGAAATAGCACAGTAATACAACAGCCCCATTTTTGACCGTGGTGGAAAGTAAAAACATTTAGCCAAGGAATGTAGCTACATGTGTAAAAGTTAGAGGTATACACCTTGCTTAAGAATTTATGAAACTATATACTATACTACTCATTTTATTCTGATTATGTAACAGCTGTCGTTACTACATTAGGACGTTAGATACAAATCACAAGGTGAGTTTATAAATTATGATACTGTTACACATTTAAACAAACAGTATATAAAATAGTTAACATGAGGTATAACTTTACAAGCTACAGGAAGACTCTGTTACTTGTATAACATACACACTCACAGGCCACTTAAATAGTCTCACCAGTACAATTGTATGCAATTCATTGCAACACTTCCACCTTAACATCTGTGTTTGTGAAGCTCAAAATGTTTCAGTTTTTGTTGAAATTGAATAAATGTATAAATTCAGTTATATGTTTATTATTGAGGTCATAGTTAAAGGTGGAGTTGTTCTGGACTGCATTATATTCAAAGGTGTTCCTAATATTCTGACCCTCTCATGTATGTGGCTGGGGAGGACAAAAACATAGAGAGACCTCTGAATATAATGTAGTCCAGTACAACATCCCCTTTAACTATTAACTCAATAATAAACATATACATGAATCTATACATTTGACAATTTCACCAAAAAACTGAAACATTTTGAGCTTCATGAAAACAGATATTAACATGGAAGTGTTGCACTGACGTGCATACAATTGCACAGGTGTACCTAATAAAGTGGCCTGTGAGTGTATTTTAATGTCACTTTGAAAAGAGTCATTTTGAATAATGAGTACTTTTGATAATTAGGCTATAGTACATTTTGTTGCTGATACTTCTATTGAAGTATAATTTTGCATCCGGAAGATAATATTTCAGTTTTACTCCTTTTAAGTTAAATATCTGAGTGGTTCCACCACTGCTTTTATGACTGTTACAGTCATATCATGCTGATGATGGAAAGTATCCAGCACAATTTCAAAGTCACTGTGCTACTAAAAGTCCATTTTGACAATTCTCAGCTATTTATCTATTCGGTGCAGTCGGGGGTCACATGCACACAGTATTAAGAGTCCCTTTCCTGTCCTGCGCAGCTGCGCAATTATTTTCACTATGCAATCCCGGCGGAGCTATCTCCCAAATTACATGTATCTTGTTGTGGAAAATGCATGACATTTGGCGATGCAACATCATGGAAAAACAATGAAAGCATTGCACATGATGCCAGTGCTTCCAGTTTTGGCAGAACAGAAGAGGCTGAGGAGTCATCCAACTAATTACTGAACACTTGTTATGCTGCACTGGAAGTAGATTCAAGCAACCATTGATCACTTGTGGAAGAGCATTATATCCAATATGTTCTTTTCATGAAGATAGTGTATAGTGTTAGTGAAACATCTTATTAATGACCAATGATCACAGAGTTCATCTCCAATTAATTCAGATATATGTAAAAAGACTTCAGTTTCACTGCTCTTTGGTGTTTTTCTGTCGATCAGAAAAAAGTTTTAATGTGGTTTTGGTGCATGTCACCACCACATTACACTGTACCATCTATCATCTCTCAGAGCACGGGGGCAGAGTCCTGCAGTCCATATCCATCATAATAATCACCATCATTATTTCAGTGTTTTTCTCACCAACGCACCAGTGAGAGAGGGAGAGATTTCTAACACAAAGCTGTCTGTGATGACAAAAGGCCTGTAGGACTAAAACAGTGGCTTGTAGAGGTTCAGTTTTTCTGAATCTGCTTCCACCAAGTGGGTTGTTCAGTCATGAGAGGCTGCATCTGTTGTTTCATGCTCATCTTTGGTGGTGAATATTGTCAGGGATTTACAGAGATTGAGCTTCCTCATGAAAGGCACCACAGCCTCATTTGATATTGATCGTTTCTCATTTACAGTTAGTTGTTATTTGAGCGACTGCCTACATTATGAAATCGTCACTCTCAGACCACAACAGACATTCAGGCAAGACATTTATATGCAAAAATGTGTTAATTAAAATACATTGAAATCAATGTTTTAAGCTACCGCACATTTGAAAGGCTATTTATCTTGTGAATTTGGTGAACCAGAAACATTTGGAGCTCAAAATATAGTGGTTACACACAGCATGTTACCAGACAAGCCTTTAAAACCGCCTGTCTGTCTCTGATGTGTTTGCGTTCAGGGGGTTGGAAGATGGGAGAGTGTGGGGGGGCGTGAGGAGGAAAAGATGCATAAATACAGAAGTGGAGGAGGTTGTGGCTGAACAGTGACAGCTCTTAACCATTTCCAACTCTGCCCCTTCTATATTCTGTTCCTCCCCAGCTGGAGACACTTCATGTTGTAGCCAAGGTGGAGCTGCAGAATGAAATTGAGTTGAAATCAGTTAAGCAAGGAGAAAAATTATATAAAAAAACAAAACAAAACAAAAAAGTTAATTAAATGCATTCAACATTGTTTTGTTTCTTCATCTCATGCACAAAAGAGTAATGTACATCATCACCAATCATCAGTCACTAGATGCCGGCGTCCTCATTATTCACTTCATCAGGCAATTACATGTAGCAAACCTGACTTCATTAGGCAAATCAGAGGTGGTTGCTGATCCATTTTTCATCCTCACATCCAGGAAACGCCATCAGAGAAATAAACAGGGAGAAGTATAGTGCAGAAGTTCCCTGTCGTGTTTCTCTCCTGCGTCAGATTTAATACACAGATCTTTTTCACCAAGACAGCACAGCAGGAAATATGAAAAAGTTGTGACTTAGTGCCTTCAGTGACTTCTTCTCAATCAAAACACCAAAAATGCCAGTATAAAAAGATAACGGCTATGCATGAATTTTTTTTGTGGTATTGGTGGGTTTTCTTAATGCAAACATGCAGCGTGATGGTCAGTGAGTACAATCCCTTTCATGCACCATTTAGTCACATAAGGACCTTTTTATTTATCTCAGCAGAGCACAGTAGTAATCACAAAGACTTAGCAGGTGGTTCAGTGAATGCTCATTTGTGGAAACACTATGCAAATGAACGCAACAGGCACAGATACTCAGGCAATAGTAAGCAGCTTCAATTCACAGCTCAGTTGAAATCGTTGTCTCTGTGCTATTCCTCATGGGGTGATACAGTACCTATAGTAGTAGCCTTGCAGCTTCAAAAGAGATCACTGAGTGTGTGTGTCATTTCGTGGCTAAAAATACACTCATGAGAGGTTCATGAAATCCAGCCCTGAACAGCAGGAGTATAATCTGGAATCATCTTGCAGTGTCACTAGATAAATCACAGCGGGAGAATAATTCATTTGCCCTATACACAGCTGCAGAGGCTCAGAGTGACGACAAACCCAAATGGACCTGACTGCCATGACTCCAGCAGTCACGTCACCTGTAATCACATATCCCTTTTCTGTCAGAAAGAAGAGAAGTCATGAAATTGATTTTATTTTTAGCTTATTTCGTTCCAAACACTGATCTATTATTGAGTATGTGTGGCCTACTTTGATGCTAACCTTCAGTGTTTGTTGTACTTTCATATCAGCAATGGAAAAGGTGCTCAAACCTGGCTGCAATAACAGAATTTTTTGGCTGCTTAGGGACTTAGAAATAAGCACTGAGCACAACACTTACCTTTATTAAATTTTGAGTTGATATGGCAAACCTGTGTGTAAACATTTGTCTGTATAATTGCAGCATTAGCTTTTATCTGGAGCTGTGTTTATGGCCACATCGTGCATGTAAGTCCAATATAAACTTTCCTTCTAGGCCCAATTTGGTCTTTGCCAACTCTTGGGGGAAATATCTGGCTCTTTAGCTGGCTTTTTAGTTTTTTTTTGTCTGTGTGCAAATTGTTGCTGGGCAGATTTTTAGATCTTTTTTTCTTTTTGTTCAAATCACTAATCCAGTGGCAATGAAACAACCACTACAAAGTAATTTCATATAAAAAAATTACTGCACAAAACCAAAAATATGAATAATATTTTCCTATGCAGTTAAATATTTTCAGACAGTGAAGCTAAGATATTTATTTCCATTTGTGGCAGTGGAAAGTAATGCCTTATTTTGCATCATAGTCATTGTATACACTGGTCAGCCATAACATTATGACCACCGACAGGTGACGTGAATAACATTGTTTATCTTATTACAGTGGCACCTGTTTTTCACTGAATGGTCTTCTTGACAGTAGAACTATGGAACCAACTGCTGCTTTGACTCATGTGTACACAGTATTAGGCAGGTGGTCATAATGTTATGACTGGTTATTTTATATGCTCAGCAAAATAACTAATAAGAGTTATCAGATAAATGTAGTGGATCTGAACGGACATGTTTCCTTCTTCATTGCTAGAGAAGAACTGTGAAGCCTTACAGTTCACAAAACCTTGGACCCAGTGCTCTGCCACTGTGCTTAAATGTTATATATTTATGATAAATCAAAAACTAAATACAGAACTCAATAGTAAACGTATACAGCAACTGCTGCTTGTCCAGTAAAGCCATCCCACATTATGCTTGCTACATTTTACTTCCACAGAAACACTCAGCATACCCACCACAGTACTTATCTATTCTCATTCTGCTCATTCCATCATTTTTATTCACTCATTACCGGAAAATTCATCCTGCAAACAATTTCAAAAGTGCTCTCACATCCCAGAAGAGTTCTTTCATCACAGAGACACTTTGT